TGCCTTAACCACCAGCCAATAGTGGCAGACAACACCCTGGCCCCCAGGGAGCTGGGCTGAAAGGAAATGAAAAGAGCCTCAGACTGATGGATCGCTGACGTACGCCTGAAATAAATGCGCAAAGCGCAACTGACGTCTAGGCGGTGCCTTGTGTTAGGGAGCTGGACAAAAGTTAGTGAGAATGACCTCCTGCACTCTATGGAAAGGGGAATTGACCTTCGGGAGGAAGGTCGGGTCCAGTCAAAGGACCACCTTATCCTGATGGAATTGGCAGAGATCATCTTTGGATGACAGTGCCCCCAGTTCAGAAATGCGCCGAGCAGATGTCATGGCAACTAGGAATGCTACCTTTAGGGAGAGAAACCTGAGGTGCACTGTTCCCAATGGTTCAACCGGAGGCCCTGTCAGGGGCCTGAGAACAAAGGGCAGATCCCACATGTGGAACTGATGAACCAGGGGCGTCTAGATGTTAGCTGCTCCCTTTAGGAATCTTTTGACTAGGGGAAGGTGAGATAGTGGGGAATGACCATCCCCGGCAAGGACCAAGGAGAGGAGTGGGAAAGACCCTCGTCCAAACCCTTCTATAGAAATTCAAGGACTTGGGCAACTGAGGCCTTGGTTGGAGCTATGTTGAACATCCTGCACCATTTGATGAATGCCAACCACATGGAATTATAAATCCGCATGGTCGATGGACGTCTGGAAGCCTCGATAGTCACGATGACCTTGTATGACAAGTTTGCATCCCTCAGGAGGCTCCACTCAAGTGCCAGGTGGCCATTGGGGCTCCGGATGGATTAGGACCCCCTGGCACAAGGAAATCTCTTCCTGAGTCCACGAGGAGATATGGACAGTTGGACAAGGTCTGCAAACCAAGGCTGTCTGGGCCAATATGGTGCTAGCAGGATGATGTTGCCCTCTCTACCACTATCTTTCTCAGGGTCCCTTGGATCAGTGGGAGAGGGGGGAAGGCATAGACTGGGCTGGCAGCCATCTGCTTCTGAAGGCATTGGTCCCTTCTGCATTATGGGCCAGGAAGCGAGAGAAGAACCGCGGAAGTTGTATATTCGCTGGAGTCGCGAACAAGTCCACCAGTTTTGTACAAATTCTTCAGAAAAGCTCAGGTTGCAGCTGCCATTCGCCGTGGTCGACTGTTGTGTGGCTCAGTCAGTCAGCCTGATGGTTGGCCGTGCCTGAGATGTGCTTTGATGTTATTGATGCTAAGTGCCTCTCCGCCAAGGAGCAGAGTTTCTGAGCCTCTAGCCAGAGCCACTTGGAGTTTGTGCCCCCCTGATGGTTTATGTGGGCCTTCGTGGCTACGTTGTCCATCAGGAGGAGCATGTGTCGATCGGCAATCGAATCCTTGAAGTATCGGAGGGCTAGATGAACTCCCTTCAGCTCCAGCCAGTTTATGTTGTGGGGCAGGTCTGAAATCATCCACTAACCTTGCACCAGCTTGGAGTTCATCATGATCCCCCAACCGAACACGCTCGCGTCCATTATGATCATAACCCGATCCATTCCCAGAATTCCGACCTGCACCATGTGGCCAGAGACAGCCACCTTTTCCAGAGGAGGGGGAGGGAGTGGTCACGTGTGGGTTTTNACCGGGAGGCACTTCAAATGGTCACTCATGCTCTTGTCACCTCGAGACTTGACTACTGCAACGTGCTATACATGGGGCTGCCCCTGAAAAGTGTTCAGAGACTACAACTGGTCCAGAATACAGCCGCGCAAGCGATATTGGGTGTACCAAGATACACCCATGTTACACCTATTCTCCGTGAGCTGCACTGGCTCCCGATCAGTCTCCAAACGCGCTTCAAGGTGCTGGTTATCACCTTTAAAGCCCTACATGACTTAGGACCTGGATATCTATGGGACCGTCTTCTACCACATACCTCCCAGCGTCCGATAAGATCTCACAGGATGGGCCTTCTCTGGGTGCCGTCAACTAGACAATGTCGTTTGGTGGCTCCTCGGGGGAGGGCCTTCTCTTTAGCTGCCCCGGCCCTATGGAATGATCTACCCCCAGAGATCCGGACCCTCCCCAGTCTCACAGCCTTCCGAAGTCTATTAAGACCTGGCTTTTCCGGCAGGCCTGGGGCTGTTGACCTCTTGAATAAGGTCCAGCCCCACCAAGGTTGAGTGCATGTTGTGTCTTTTAACTTGCCTTGGCTCTATTTTTTAACTTTTCTAGTATTCTTTTAAATTGTTTTTTATGTAAGCCGCCCGGAGTCCTTCGGGATTGGGCGGCATATAAATTTATTAAACATTAAACATTAACAAACATTAATCATTTACATTTTCAATTCCTATTTTTCATATGCATAGGTTAATACTCATGAAGAAAATAACTGAAATAGATCTTACTCAGGTTTTTTAATCAAAAGAGATTTGATGAAATCCACTGCAGATTCAGATACAAAATCAAAATCTTCAGAGTAATTTACATGTATCTGAGATATATTTAAGAATGTTTCTTGTTTATCATTCCCCAAAAAAGGTGATACTCCTGTTAGCATGACATATGTTAATACTCCAATGCTCCTAAATAGAATAAGAAAATGAAAACATATGTTTCATTAGAAAAAAATATGTGGTTTTGAATTAATATTTCAATAAACAGTTTTTCTTACCACATATCTGTTGCAGTACTGATTGGATCATAGCTTAGAATTTCTGGAGCTATTAGAAAAAAAATACAATTAAGTTACAAAGAAGACAGCAAGGAGATGGCAAAGAGATGGTGGTTTGTATTTCTTTTGACATGCAATCTAGTTGGTGGAAACAAATCCTTGGCACTGAGAACTGAAACAGTATAATAATGTGAAAAGGATAAACAGAAAGAACATTGGTCCTTATCTGAATGTGTCTTTTCAGTAGAGTGGTGGGAGGGGCTACAATTGCGTTTTGTCAAAACCTGATTGGTCCAAAGACTGAGGGAAATTTCTTTAAGTATCCTCCTTTCCCTGTTGGCTCCCAGTTCCCTTGAGGTTGAATGACAAAAGCTGTAAGACAGAACAGAAACAGACCACCCAACCACCCCTCACCCCTCCTGACTAGCTATATATATTGCTGAACTAGGGAGGGATGTAGCCCCTCCCACTACTCCCACTATGTTCTTTTCCCAGTAGAGATGGTGGGAGGAGCTACAGTTGGGATGTATCCAAGCTGGGTCCCAGGGAGGGAATTAAGACCCTGGGGAAGGGGCGGCCGCTACTGCTGGAAAACCCTGCATCCAAAGGACGCCTCGACCAATGCAAAAATATCAAGATGATAGTGTCGGATAAAGGGAGTCGGGGATGACCAAGTGGCCGCCCGGCAAATGTCCTCGAATGAGGCTCTGGTGGCCCATGCCACCAGAGCCAAGGTGGCGCAGTGGTTAAATGCAGCACTGCAGGCTACTGCTAGATCAGCAGGTCAGCGGTTCAAATCTCAC